CTGGGATCCCTGCACGGTTAGTAACTGGAAGTCAGAAGCAGCCTGGTCAGGCTGTGTGAGTCAGCGTTTGGCCACGGGGTTTTTGCTGCAAGTTCTTGGTCATATCCGCTCAAGAGATGAATTTTGGATTTGACTTTATAGAACCTCTTTCTCTGGTGCATTTGTCAGAGGAGACTTTAGAATTAATCAGAGAGGAGAGCTGGCTGTTCTTTTCTCACTCCCACCCCCATCCCTCCTCTCCTGGATCATTATTCAGAGTAAACACTGAAAAGAAAAAGCATGAGACATTTGTTGGGATTGTTGTGGTTTGGTGTTTTTACAAGAGAATCTGATGTTTAATATTTTCACCTATACTTTAAACATTCATTCTGGGTTTTTATTCTTCCTTTTCAGTTGTTTGAGAACTTCTACTTTGGTTCCCTGAAGCTGAATTCAATTCATATCTCTCAGAGGTTCACAGTAGACAGCTTTGGAAACTATGCTTCCTGTGGACAAATTGACTTCTCTTGAGGTGGATCTTGGAAAGCACTAGAAACTGAACATCCTCACCAGGTGCTGAAGAAAAGTGTCTTCGTTTTAATTGCCAAGCAGGGATGTGGACATTTGGATGGTGACTTTCCTGGGTGGTTCTCCATGGATTCACCATCGCCTCTAATGCTGTCTGCAGCCATCAAACTACCAGCCAAGATGGTGGTGGGCATAAGGAGAACTTGTACCTGTAACCCTTAGTGTATTCTTTCTGGTTGTCTTCCTTTTAATTTTTAAATTCTGGTAAAATACTCATAAAACTTACTGTCTTTACCATTTTAAGTGCACAGTTCAATAACGTTAACTGTTAATACATTCATAATGCTGTGCAGCCGTCACTCCCATCCATCTCCACAGGCTTCTCAACTTGTACAACGGAAACTGTGCCCATTAAAGAGTAATTCCCACTCTGCCTGTCCCCCCGCAGCCACCATTCTACTTTCTGTCTCTGTGGTTTTGAGTATTCTCAGTATTCCATATAAGTGGAATCATAGTTACTTGTCTTTTTGTGACTGGCTTATTTCACTTAGCATAATGTCCTCCGGGTTCATCCATGTCATGTCAGGTGGCAGGATTTCCTTCCTGTATTATAACATATAATCGAATGTTCAGTTACATGTGTATACCACACTGTTTGTCTATCAGTGAACACGGCTTGCTTCCTCTTGACTATTGGGAGAAATGCTATTACAGACACGGGTGTGCAAATATCTCTTTGAGACTCTGCCTTTAATTCCTTTACTACCCAGAATTTTATCTTTAACAAAATAACTATTAAAGGTTTTGCCTTTCACTTTGCTTGGTTTATCATTTTCCTACCAAAGTTTGTCAGTTTTTTTTTTTTTTTTTGAGACAGAGTTTCGCTTTGTTGCCCAGGCTGGAGTGCAGTGGCGCGATCTCTGCTCACTGCAACCTCCACCTCCCAGGCTCAAGCGATTCTCCTACCTCAGCCTCCCGAGTAGCTGGGACTACAGGTGCCTGCCACAACACCTGGCTAATCTTTGTGTTTTTAGTAGAAATGGGGTTTCACCACATTGGCCAGGCTGGTCTCGAACTCCTGACCTTGTGATCTGCACGCGTTGGCCTCCCAAAGTGTTGGAATTAGAGGCGTGAGCCACTGCACCCTGGCCAAGGTTGTCCTCTTATTATTTGTTGGATTCCTGTTCCTTCACCCATCCCCACCTTCGCCTTCCCATGCCCCTGTTAGAGTTGCAGTATTATAGCTTTTTTCTGTTTACTTTTCAAGGCAGCAGCAAAACAAACTGATGGTATCACCAGGACTGTGCAGAGTTGCCTGGAAGAATGTCAGCCCCAGGAGGCACTCACTCCTTCCTCACCACGGACCAGCAGAGGGAGTGGGTATTCCCAGCAGTTGCCCCCATCCTTCCAGGGGGAATGCTGGGGAGCCTGAGCCTCCCACTCCTCTCTCCTCACATTCTTCCTCCCTCCTCACATTCTTCCTCCCTCCATGTCCTCTCCCTCCTTATTCTTATCTTGATTCTTTCTTTCTTTCTATTCTTTAAGTCTGCTTCTGAACTTTGTGTTAAGTCGCTACATTGTGAGGACTGTCTAACACTGAGATTTTTTATTGGGACTGCACGAATCACTTGTGAATAAATGAATGTTTAAACAGTTTTCCTGTTAGTATGATCACATCATTTGAATTTGACCCCCTTCCTGTGTTGGGATACAATGTTGCCCTCGCTTATTCACTAGCATAGCCAGATCATTCATGGAGGACTTACGTTAGTACTAGCATCTGCAAGGATAATTTTTTTTTTTTTTCCCAGAAGGCCTCTTTTTTTCTACTGGATATTCATTTTCTATATAAACTGAGATTTTACCTCACCTCAGGTTGTTAGATGGCACTTGGGAATGTGCTCCAGGGATAGTGCTGAATTATGAAGCCGACTGTGGAGTTTACGCCCCGTCTCATCTTGGTGTGCCTGCACTCTCTCATTGGTTTATTTCTGACAAGCCACTGGGCAACCTCAGCCAGGAAGTAAATGTCACTTCTTTTGGGGGGTGTCTGAGACTTACGACTTATCTTTGTAGTTTTTTTTTTTTAATTTTGTCTTTGGAAAATTTAGCTCTATATATTGAATACTAATTTTTTTTTTATAGTTTTTGTTTTTTTTTTTTTTGTGATACAGGGTCTCACTCTGTCACCCTCTCTGGAGTGCAGTGGCACAATCACAGCTCACTGCAACCTTGACCTCCTGGGCTCAAGCTGTCCTCTCATCTCAGCCTGCCGAGCAGCTGGGACTACAGGTGGGCACCACCATGCCTGGCTACTTTAAAAAAAAATTTTTTTTTGTAGAGCTGGGATTTCACTGTGTTGCCCAGGCTGGTCTCAAACTCCTGCTGGGCTCAAGCCATCCTCCCACCTTGGCCTCCCAAAGTGTTAGGATTACAGGTGTGAGCCACCACACAGGGCCTAAATACCAAATTGTAAATAGAACTGGAAATTGTGTTATTGAGAATTTAGTGATTACTCTTCCCTAAGACTTGTTAAGTAATTCTTCCCAAGTTGTTTGCCTTTTTCCCTCTCATTCTCTCACAGGTTGTACAGTGGGGTTTTCCAGAGTCTCGTGACATGACAGCGTCATCAGTCTGGTGGTTAACGGAAGGTGCACTTTTGTATTTTTGTGTTCTCTAGACTTTTGTAAGTTGGTAGGTATTGGTAGAATTGGAACTTTTTTAAATTAAAAAATTTAAAAATTTTTCCTTTTTTTCACATGCTTTGGTAGGCAGAGATAAAATGTTCTTTCTGCTGGGCACAGTAGCTCATGTCAGTAATCCCAGCACTTTGGGAAGCTGAGGTGGGTGGATCACAAGGTCAGGAGTTCAAGATCAGCCTGGCCAACATGGTGAAACGCCGTCTCTACTAAAAATACAAAAAAAAAAAAAAAAAATTAGCTGGGTATGGTGGCACGTGTCTGCAATCCCAGCTACTTGGGAGGCTGAGGCAGGAGAATTGCTTGAACCAGAACCCAGGAGGCGGAGGTTGCAGTGAGCTGAGATTGCACCACCTCACTCCAGCGTGAGCTACAGAGCAAGACTCCATCACACACACACACACACACACACACACACAAAATTATGAAGTCTGTATTCTAGTTTTGGGGACAGCGTAGCTCTTTGGAAATACAGTTTTCATTGCTGTTGTGGAAGAGGGAGTAACAGATAGTTTTGATGTGAACTTTCACGAGAAAGCAAAATGTTAGCAACATTAAAAGGGTTAGAGCTAGGGTTAGAAAAGAATTCTTCTAGATTCATACTTCCTCTCACCAAATGACAATGGGGTAAATGTTGGAGGATTTGCTGCTGCTGTGCTTACAGTCAGACCTTCCTTCATGTTACCATTTTGTAATTCATTCTACACTGAAATAGTTCATTGTATCTAACACTGCTCCAGCCAGCTCTTGAGGCACTGACTTCACCCTCAATTCCTCTAAGAGGAAGAGGGAAACAAATCTCTCACTTGCTTTTTCACAGAATTTGTGAATTGTTATACATGGAACTTTGTTATGGAGAGTAATTTTTACTTTGGACACATTATAAATGTTACTTATAATGATTATTTTTAAAGCGTGCTCTAGCTTTTCCTAAACTGGGCATTGAGTAGAATCCAGCATCGTAATAATTCAGATTTGGTTCCGGTTTGCCCTTGCACTGTGCTGGAGCTCACTGTCCCTGAGCTCAGGGAACCCAGCGGCACTAGAGGTGTATGAGTTGCATCAGTGGAGCACTTGTCAGCTTCCATCTCGATACCACGGGGAGCATGAATGTTCAAGCCCATGCTGCTAGAAGCGAGGAAAGTGGCTGCTGTTACGGTTTTTATTAAAAGTTTTTTTTTTTGGTAAAATGTCCTTTAAACAAAGACAAGTTTACTTTGTGAAAAATCATCAAGCTTATGCTTTGTGCTTTTGTCAGTGTGTGTTATACTTCAATTCAAATGGGAGGCTGAAACCAGAGGTTCGCTTGAAGCCAGGAGTTCAAGACCAGCATGGGCAAACTAGCAAGACCCCGTCTCTATAAAAAATGAATAAATAATAAAAGAAAATAAATGGTAGCATCCAGAGGTAATTACTCCCTATACATTTAAACATATATCAAATATGAGAAATTAAGAAATTTTTCACAAATAACAGATAACATTAGTGGTGTGCTCACATTTGTCATTTATTTTTACATCAATCTTTTCAACAGCCAACTTAAGTATGTAATATTATCCTCATTTTACAAACTGAGGGTTAACAAGGTAAAGAAATTTTTCTTAAAGTTGGGGGCAGTGGCTCACACCTGTAATCCTAGCGCTTTGGGGAGGCAAGAGGATCGCTTAAGCCCAGGGGTTCAACACCAGCCTGGACAACATGGTGACACCCTGTCTCTACAAAAGAAAATTAGCCAGGCATGGTGGCATGCGACTCTATTCCCAGCTACTTCAGAGGCTGAGGTGGGATCAGTTGAGCCCAGGAGGGCAAGGCTGCAGTGAGCCATGCTCACATCACTGCACTCCAGCCTAGGTGATAATGAGTGAGACCCTGTCTCAAAAAAAAGAAAAAAAAAAATTGCCTTACGTCATAAAGCTTATACCAGCAGCTCTCAGTGTGGTCTTTGGACTTCCAGGACTCCCCAGGAACCTCTTAGGGGATGTCTACAAGGAGGTCCAAACTGTTTTCATAAAAATACTGAGGTGCAGCCGGGCGCGGTGGCTCAAGCCTGTAATCCCAGCACTTTGGGAGGCCGAGGCGGGTGGATCACGAGGTCAAGAGATCGAGACCATCCTGGTCAACATGGTGAAACCCCGTCTCTACTAAAAATACAAAAAATTAGCTGGGCATGGTGGTGTGTGCCTGTAATCCCAGCTACTCAGGAGGCTGAGGCAAGAGAATTGCCTGAACCCAGGAGGCGGAGGTTGCAGTGAGCCGAGATCGCGCCATTGCACTCCAGCCTGGGTAACAAGAGCGAAACTCCGTCTCAAAAAAAAAAAAAAAAAATACTGAGGTGCTATGTGCCTTTTTAACTCATTCTCTCAGGAGTGTTCAGTGGAGTTTTCCAGAGGCTCTGTGACATGGTGGCATCACCCTGATGGTTAGTGGAATTGTGTGAGTGTGTACATTTGTGTTCTAGAATATTGTAAATTTGTAGGTTTAGGGTCTAAATATATGTGTTTTAAGAGATTAACTCAGTTTGCTGTGAGTGCTTCTACTGTGCTCTTGCTAGCTATTTTCATTTATACCTGCTGCTGTAGGCTGTCATGACCACCCAAAATCTACATGTTGAATCTCTAACTCCTAGAACCTCGGAATGTGACTATTTGGGGATTGGGCTTTTAGTGGGGTCATTAGGTTAAAATGAGGCTGTTAGGGTCAGCCCTAATCCAATCTGTCTGGTGTCTTTACAAGAAGAGCGAATTTGGACGCACAAAGAGACACCAGACTAGTGCGTGCACAGAGGAAAGACTGAGGACACAGCAGGAAGGCAGCCATCCTGCAAGCCGAGAAGCGAGGGCTTAGGAGAAACCAAAGCTACACCAGCTTGATCTTAAACCCCAAGACTCCAGAACTGTGAGAAAATAATTGTCTGTTGTTGAAGCCACCCAGTCCGTGGTACTTTGTTACGGCAGCCTCGGCGACATACACTTGCTGTAATGCAGAAGCTTATGTGAGACTCTACCCGTCTTCTTCTGAACCAGACACTAAAGAGATTTGTAAAAATGTAAAACAGTGCTACTCTCTTACTAACTGGGGGAGGGGTAGAGACAGTTGTTTTTCATAAACTATTCTGTTAAATATGAAACGGGTACATTCTTATTTTAAAATTTTTAAATTCTTAGTTTGATTTTCAAATACAGTAAATATCTATATATGTATGTGTATATATAAATATATAACTAAAATAAAAGTTCTTTGGGGCCCTCAGTAATTTTTTTAGTGTTAAGGGCTCCAGATTCCAGAAAGTTTGAGAATAGCCACATTATACTACGCTTCCAAATGAGATCCTGTTATATGTGATCTTGTATAACGAGCTTTTCTCACCCAGCAATACATAGTGGATCATATTGGTTTTTAATAGATACAGATCTACATTATTATTTTTAATGTCTGCACACTAGTCTGTTAGAGGTATGTTTTCTCCTTTAGCTAGGTAGTTCCTGGCTAATGGACATTGAGCTGGTTTCCAGGTTGGGCTGTTATGAACAATTCTGGATTCAGTCATCTTGGTGCATTTATCTTTTTGTACTTGTAGGGTCATCTAGAAATGGAATTAAATGGTTTTTAAGATGTATTCAATTTGGGTTTCTTACTAGAAAACTAAGGTTTCTCTTTCTCCGTTTTGTAATTGCTAAATATTAAGTGCAAACAGAAAAATGTGTAAAATATATGTACCACTTAACACATATACCTAGAGGCTCCTCATGTTTGGGGCCATTGTTTTGAAAAGGCTGACCTGCCAGTAATTCTTTCAAAAATTAGGAAAACCAGGCTGTAATCCCAGCACTTTGGGAGGCCAAGGCAGGCAGATCACTTGAAGTCAGGAGTTTGAGACCAGCTTGGCCAATATGGTGAATCCCCATCTCTGCCAAAAATACAAAACTTAGCGGGACGTGGTGGCGGGTGCCTGTAATCCCAGGTACTCGGGAGGCTGAGGCAGGAGAATCGCTTGAACCTGGGAGGCAGAGGTTTCAGTGAGCCGAGATCATGCCACTGTACTCCAGCATGGGTGACAGAGCAAGACTCTGTCTAAAAAAAAAAAAAAAAAAAAAAAAGGAAAAACCTTTTCTTTTTATTCTTTTTTGTTTTCTTTTGAGAGTCTCACTCTGTTTCTTCAGCTGGAGTGCAGTGGCGCGATCCTAGTTCAGTGCAGCCTTGAACTCCCAGGCTCAAACATCCTCGTCGCATCAGCCTCTGAGTAACTGGAACCACAGGCACGGTGCAACCTGGCTAATTTTTTTTCATTTTATATAAAGATAGGGTCTTGCTATGTTGCCCCAGCTGGTCTGGAACTCCTAGGCTCAAGCCATCCTCCTGCCTTTTAGCCTCCTAAAGTGCTGAGATTACAGGTGTGAGTCAGCACACCTGGCTCTTTTTTTTCCCTCTTTTTAAACTAAAACTATTGGCCATTTCCTACAACTTTTACACCAGTCATCTGGAAATTTGGGTTCTTCTTCCTAAATAGCATTACTGTTGGCTTAAGTAACGGGACTGAACTGTTGTTGATTAGCTTTCAACACAAGACTAGTATTGACCCAGCCTGAAGGTGCTACAGAAAGGCAAACCCCACTGGAGAAGCTACCTGGAACTGTGGGAGCCATTTTAATCCTCAGAGTCTGGAGACAGTTGTTGTCATATTGATGGGCATCTTGACAGCACCTTTCTAAACTCTTTATTCAGCAACTTTGGTAACTCTAGAAGCGCCTAAGATATAACAGGAATGGGAGAGCTATGGTATCTGGTACCTTTCTTCTCTGCCTTAGAGATACATAGTTAGCTTTGCTAAAAACAAAAGGCCAACAAACAATAAAAACAACCTAGGATTGTAGGATTGAGATGGTGGAAAAGATGGCAAATTTTGGTAAATCTTCAAAACTATGGGACACCATAGCCTTCTCTTCCCAATCAGAGGGAAGGTTAACTTTTAAAAACATGCCCATTATGCCCAGATACTTAGTATGTAATTTTGCTTTTGTTTTACAGCAGTTTTAATGGTGGTATTATTAATTTTAGATAGAAAATAGGTAATTGCTCAAGCATCCAGCCAGTAAATGGGATTCTGTCCCCCAGTCTCCATGACAGCAAGCCGTGCTCTCTCACTGTACAGCGCCAGGACACACCCAGGAAGAATGCTTTATCACTGTGAGATGAAGATGCCAATGGCCAGGGCCTCACTGCAGCACCACCACTAAATCCAACGGCAAAGGGAACAAGAAAACACGGAAAGGGAGCTATTGTTTTCTGTTTTCCCAGCAGGACTCCAGCCTTAGCCACTGAGGCATTGAGTTCCCAGACAGGCCCGATTCAGGGTGACGAGGAACCTTGTCAGCTGTGTTTTTTCCTACTGATTAAGATCATGTTTTTAAGATCATTGCCTTTTAAATTATTATTGTTTAGATCACAGCAGCTAACTTTTGTTGTTGTTGTTGTTTGTTTGTTTTTTAATAAAAACACAATCTAGGGCTTGGGTACCAAAAGTTCAGTACATTTTGTCTCATCAGATGACCTGTTTCCTCTTTAATGTATTTGAAATGTAAACCTCTCCCCATTTATGCTGTGATCCTGGGACTGTGGCCAGCCTCCAGCCTTACCCACTGTCATGCCAACATTCAAATCTACAGGCAATAAGAAGGGTCACAATTTTAACAAAACCAGAAACACCTCAAACAAAACCAGCACTCCCCCACTACACACACACACACACACACACACACACACACACACACACACACACACACACACACGCACCCCTTCGCAGCTTCTCCAGTGGCTTATTCAAACTAAATTGAAGTCAAAAAACTGTATGTAAATATGCCTTTTTCAAATTTGCAGCCTCCAAGGCAGTTGAAATGGTCAGACATTTGCCTTTTAGGGTTGTCCTAGGAAGAGCTAACAAAAGGGGTGACAGCCCCTAAACAGCTGCTTGGGGAGGAGGACATCTGCCTCTATTTCACCAGCCACTCAGTGCTGAGGCCTTGCCTTGCGAAACGTGGAGCCGCTGGGGAGCAATGGTGCTGAGCAACCAGTTGTTATACGGCTTTTGTCTTAACGAAGCCACCCATTACGGTAGAGCTGTAACTCGCTGGAAGCCAGCTGTCAGGGCTGTGGCGCAGGCCCCTCTGGGTGGGAGGCAAGGGGAGAAAAGCAGTGTCTGGCCAAATTCCCTTTCCGACACCTGAGCCTGCCTGGCTTTGTAACCGGAGAGTTTTGTGCCCTCTTCCCCATCCCATCTTCCCCGGGGAGATCCTGGGGCCCTTCGTACTCCCCATCCTTGGAGGGAGCTCAGGGACATCTCGGGATTCTGATTTCCTGGTCTGCAACTCCCTGTGTGCCACGCTGGGCTGGGCCCCGCTGCGGCTGGCTGGCGTTTGGCGCTCTCACCCAGCGAGCGCTTCGCTTTGAAATCTACCCACTCTCTCTCTCTCTCTCTCTCTTTTTTTTTTTTAAACCAGGTATGATGATGTCAAACGTGATGCTGATGCTACAGTTACAGCCCCTGCTGGCGCAGCCTCTCTGATTCTCTCTCCCTTTCCGCGGCCAGTGCTGGGCTTTTTCAGACAAGTGCATCTCCTAACCAGGTCACATTTCAGCCGCGACCCACTCTCCGCCAGTCACCGGAGGCAGACCGCGGGAGGAGGGCTGAGGACAGCCGCGTGCGCTTCTCCAGCAGCAGGGTGGGAAGAAGGACATTAAAATACTGCAGAAGTCAGGACCCCTCAAGTCGAACCCGGACCACGATGTGCGCCCCGGGCTGCGGGCAGCTGGTGCTGCCGCTGCTGCTCCTGGCCGCGACAGCCCTGGCCGAAGGCGACGCCAAGGGGCTCAAGGAGGGTGAGACCCCTGGCAATTTCATGGAGGACGAGCAATGGCTGTCGTCCATCTCGCAATACAGCGGCAAGATCAAGCACTGGAACCGCTTCCGAGACGTAAGTCCGCAGGGCCGCCAGGGCAGAGGCCCGGGGTTGCGGTTCGGGGAGGAAGCTCCGGGGTCTGCGTGAGCAGCTGCCAAACGTCGCAGTCCGAGGCTCCGCAGCCCGGCCAGCTAATTACCCGGAGAATAAACAGCACGGTGGAGGGCACAGCCCAGCGCCCCTCCCCTGTCCCTGCGGCTGGGGCTGGCGGCCCTGGGACCCCCAACCCCATGACCCCCAGCCCCACACCCGCCGGACGCTCCGGGGGCGCGCGCTTTGGGGTCTCCCCTGCAGTCCGGGAGCGGGAAGGGGTGCGGGGCGGGGGGCGGTATCCGGACTCTGGCTACGACTGGACCCCGACCCGCTCCCCCCGCTGCCTTGTGCGAGCCGCCCCCGGGCCTGCCCCAGCCGCGGGAATGCTGCAGGCTGCACATACGGGGCACTGCAGCACCGGCAGGTCTGGGTGGGGCCGGCAGGGAGGGTGGCATCGGCTCGCGCGGTGCCCTCTGTTCCCACCGTGGGCTTTGCAGGAGAACAGCAGGGGACGGGAGCGTGGCCG